GTTGCCCGAAAAAAAAACCAACAAAAAAACAAAAACAAAAAAACCAATTAGCATTTCTGGTTATTGCCCAAGATTTGATTTGTGCTCTTCATTCAAAAGGGCCTTATCTTACATTTAGCCAGCCAGCAATGTGTTTTTCTAAATATTAATTTTAATAGCAAGTATTTTAATTGCCTGTTACATTTTCACATCCATGAAATACTTGAAACCAATCACATTCCTTGTTACAAGTCCAGAAAAATGTATTTAAGTAGCCATTACTGTGCACATCTCTTTAAATATTTATCAAAAAAAAAAAAAAAGACAATGTTTAATCTGTTTTAAAAAACAAAACACAGTGAGGATACAAATACAACTCTAACCCTCGGCGGCAACAGTTTCGAAGTGGTCATGGAGAGCCACCCCGCTGAAGAACACCTCTCCACCTCCCAGGCTCGCAGGCTGGCCGGGCAGGAGGGGAACCCGGCCTGCTCCCGTCCCTGCTCCGGTGGGTGGTGCTTGGTGTTCTCAGCAGGCGCTTACATCCAGTCACAGCATCAGGAACCACTCAGAGTCGGGCAGCCACAGGTTTCTGTACAGGTATCCTAGCGTCTAATGAAAAAAAAAAAAAGAAAAAAGTAAACATCATCAAAATGCCGTAAATACCACTCCATTAACCTACTTTTTGCTTTATTTTCCTTGGTCATTGGGTTGCACAGTATTTCAAATAAAGGCGGGAGATTCAAAGCTGCAGTTAATGACACCAGAAAAAGTATTGTAAAAAAAAAAAAAACCAAAACATTAGGATTTTTACACAGATAAATCTAAGGAACCACTAGGGAAAAAACACTACACCTAACATTATGTGCATTGTCCAAAGTAATTTATAACTTGAGAAGCTCTCTTCAAATTAATTTGAGAACACTTACCAAACATGTCCAGGATTTTATTAACAGCCTCTTGATTTACATTGTAAGTGAATCCATTGGACCTACAGTTAAAAGAAAAAAAACCTTTCTTCAATGAATATTTCTCATTCCAGTCATTTCTATACAAATAACCCGAATTAAACATTTTCCTAATCGCATCATATTTTTCATCCTACCAGCATACATATTAAGGACACATGGCAGACTTCTAAGCAGATTGTACTCAAGGACAGTTATGGTTTCTTTATCCTGTCTCTTGTTCACAGTGCCCATGTCTCAAGGACAGTTATGGTTTCTTTATCCTTTCTCTTGTTCACAGTGCCCATGTCTCTCTCTCCCCTTGATTTTTATTAGGGACAACTGCAGGAAGAGAACATTTGTTTGTTTTCAATCGTATAATTTTCAAGACTATCTCTCTGAAACTGAACCAAATCTTCAGCTGATGTCAAATTCTGTTGCACTCAATTGATTTATTCCTTTTACTTGAAAGGGGAATTTAGCTATAGACATCTATTTAGCACAGTGACATGGCAGGGGAGGTAACAACAACAGTACTTTGTGCACTTTCCAAGAGCACTACAAACCTTAACCAACTCATTTCCTGAACATAGGCATAAGAAAATAGCTCAAGGATCATCAGCTGCCAACTACCTTCTGTGTGAAATGCTCAAGACAATGTGGGGACTTGTATCAGAGACTTCCATGGTTATACTTTTAAATACAGTAAGAAGCACCACCACACAAATTAATTTGATAACAAGAAATGCCTGTCACTGTATTTTTGTGTAACAATAGCTGGTTTTTAATCTCAGGCCTATAAACTATGAACCATGTTAAAAGACTTTAATGACTAAGCTTTCAGTTAAATTGCTTTGAGATGTCAGTGCTGAAACCCCCAAAAAATTAGTAGTATTCCTGATCATTGCTTACATTGTCTGATGAGGCTTATTGTAACACAGAGTAACTCTTGTATTAAAGATAAGCAAGACTGTTTCTCTTTGCTTATCAAAGCCTTGAGAAAAACTTTAAAACCAAAAGCTAAAGGGAGTAAGAAGAAGCCTACTAGTGAGTTAATGAATTTGGTTGCTAAGTCCCGCGGGAGTGTTTTCACTATGGTGGGGGTGCCATTTTTCTTCTACAACGTGTATGAGAAAGGAACTACCTTGGTCTTCACCACGACTCAGGTAAATGCAATCAACCTTCAGCTGAGTGGTGCTCAGGCAGTCGGGGTTCTGCTGTTCTGCTTCCTACTGATAGCTCAGGCATTAAGAATTGCCAGTAAAAGCACACGCTGATTTCTATACACCAAAAAGACAGTGTTACTTACATTTTCTTCTTCTTCACTGCACCTAGTTGCACAAGAGCTGATAAGGCATTTTTCTGCATGTCAGAAGACAGCGCTTCATAACACTGCGTATTCCCTACAGAGAGAGCAGAAACACAATTAAGTTTTATCACTGTCCATTAACAGGCTACACTTGTAAAATCATATTGCATAACGGCTGTACACACCCTTCTCAAGAAGTTGAAAAACAAAGTTGCGGACTCCAGGTATAAACTGCTTCTCGGTAAAGGCTTCTTTTGTTTCCTTTGAGAGGTACCTGAAAATTAACTAACATTTTAAAAAAAATTAGCACTTCTTCCCTTTTGATTGTCAGCTTGTTATGAATTGCAAACAGACGTGTCCTCATAAGTAATACTGTTAACACTTTGAAAAGTGTAGGAGAGGAACTCAAAAGGTATCATTACATAGAGCATCTGAAATTTTTATTACTGTTTAACAGGCATGAGAATCCTAATATTAAAATAAGATTCAGTATTACTATAATAGTTACCTTAGACACTGATTTAACATTCCTGTTCTCACAATCAAAAACAGTATAATTTTTTTAGCAATACCTGTTTTACAGATGGGAAAAACTGGGCAAATCAGTACAGTTGAGCCCAAGTCATACACCAGATCATTAATAGATTCCACTAGCTTCAAACGTCTATAGTCCCACCAACCTTATGCTTACACACCTGAGATTTTAGCCTCCTGTTTTTGTATACATTGCTTATTACAGGAATGTAAGTGTTTAGTCTTACTAAAACCTTGGAAAACCAAAAGAATTTAAAGAGCTATGGATGCAATTAATGACTCCCAAAAAAGCTCTAAGATATGAGATGCAAACTCATTTCTGCACCTGGCAGGACAGCCTACATAAAATGAATTGAACAAGAGCTCCTCGTAAGAAAGAGCAATGAACCTGGCAGCAGCACACCTGGCAGCAGCCACAGAACCTGGCCTCACACCCCGTGAAGCTTATAAACCCACAACGGGACATCACATTACGAGGTAGTTTCTGCTTTAGTCAACTGGGAAAGTCTGAGCCAAAAGCTAAAATCAGGATCCTGGGGAGAGGGTGGTGTTTAAGATATTTGTTACTGCTATTTCTCAACTCTTGCACTCTGCAGCCATGAAAAGAGTCACTATTTATAATGCAGAAGTATCACAGCTCTCCTAGTTTCCCTATAAAACACAGCAGAAAAAAAGATAATTTTCTGAAGAACAACATACCTGATAACCTTCCACAAAAGGTCTGAACATGGCTGACAAGAAAGATGCTATAACACTTCCTTTGTCGGTAGGGTAGATTTCCTGTTGACTTGTTTGAATGGCATCACATTTTGTGAGTAGAAAACATCCTTCCTCAAAATCCTGGGAGAGAGAAGTGTAACTGAAATTTTAACATCTACAGTAAGTGCAGCTACCTTTCCCCACAAAATCTACCACGAAAACCACACAACAGGACACCGCTTCCATTTCTGACCTCAGTTCTCAAGAGATTCGAATCAAAATTTTCCTATATACCAGAAACACCCTTATAAAAAGGCAGTGGGAACATGTTCCTAAACACAGCAGTATCTCAATGCACAACAGGCCTAGGAGCAAAGAAAGCGGCTGTGGCTGCTATTGTAACCGCCAGCCTGAGCTCCCTCAGGATTTTGTCATAATAGGGTCAGGTTGTCTGGTTTAGGGTTTTTCCTGTGGGTGTTTTTTATTTTATTTTTAAAGTCACTGTTTGCCTTTATCTCATATCCACTGTTTGCGACAAAAGATAACAGAGTTCACTGAACTGCCCTTGACAAAAGAGACAACACAATGGCGAAAGGTTACAAATTATGGAAATGTCAATGACAAAACCATTTTACTGCCAATATCGGCGTTGGGGGAGGGGACGCAGGACACACACATGCAGAGAACACGAGGAGATGGGACACAGACACGACAGACACATGGATGACTAGGGGGGTGGGTTGCTAAGAGACCCCTTAACATTATAGCAACTCTTTCATTTGACTCCAGTAAAGTCAGTCATAGCCAGTCACCTTCCTGTTCCCTGCTTGGTTTTTGTACTTAAAAAAAGCTGCAAGAGGCAACAATTGCAAACAATGAAAACTAAACATAACGGTGCCAATCAGCCTTTAAAAAAAAGGCCCAATTCTCTTCTATATAAAAATCTATAGTCGCAAGTCTTGAATATTCTTACAAAAATTACACCTATCTCTCTTTTTAATGCAGGAAAGATGACAAATATCACCATCAGATATTTGGCCTTAGCATTGATAAAAATCACATTTAATCAGTTTTAAATCCAAATAAAAACTACATGTGGATTTACCAGTTTATATTGGGTATGATGCTGAACCAGTTTTTTTTACTAATAAACTTGTGCTCACCTGCATTTCAAGCTGGCTGACGAGAGCCAGCAGGATGTGTACAAACGGACACAGCAAGTCCTGCAGAGAGCAAAGCGCTGCCCGCAGTTTTCACAGCTTGCCTGTGTCCAGCTGTGTTAGGAGAGCACGCAGACATACCGAGCCCTGTAACAGGCAGTACGCAGGAACAATACTGGCTTTGTCTGAGTAATGGTTGTACGGGGCGGGGAGGGTGAAACGAGGGGAAACTCAATCAAATAGGATGCAACTAGAGCTTCCATACGACTCTACAAGGGACACTGTTACGCCACTAGGAAAGTTCTCACTTCAAAAACCTTCACAGGCTGCATCGCCTCAACTCTGTAGACTTTGGCTGCAGAAATTTAAATCAGGCTTTACTATAAGCACTTCCCTCATAGTGCTCGCAATGTACTATCTGAATCTACACAAGATAAATGCCAGTAATAAAAACTAAAAGGGCTCAACCATGAACCAACTATCAAAATAATAAAAAAGTTTACTAATGCACAGGAACATTGAAACCTTCAGAGTTCAAGGTATAAGAGGAACATTAGCCATTGCATAAACCCTACAGAGTAGATACCGCCATGCTGTGCAGTCAAGGAGAGGTGGGTACAGAGGCGTACTTTAACCGATGAGGCACTGGGTGTTGGCACAGTCCTCTGGTAGCCCTGCCATCACAGACCACACACATGGAGCTACACAAAACAACTGATCACAGCTGCACTAGAAGGAGTATAATCAACCAGAGGACAATAGGTACTTAAATATAGAATTGCATACTCTATTTGTCAAAGATAACAAGGGCATACAATGGCTGATCATTAATTGGTGTAATACCTATAGTTTAACTTCTGAAAGAGCAGCAGTGCCCCTCTGCTACACAGTCTGCAAGAGGTCTTAGGGAAAATTACCCTGGCGTGCCCTCAACGAGAATTCCTGTTTTGTTTCTGCGCTGACAGAACAAATCCACTCTGTGACAGAATTCAATTAAATCTACATTGACACCTTTTTCTTCACAGCCTAAGGTCTCTTTCATAACTGCAGAGCAAACGGACAGTATTTACACTTCCGTTAAAAGACTGCTTTACATATATCTGTGCTGGAAGACTGGTAGCTTTACGCAAAAAAACCAAACTTCTGCTGCAGTTCATTTTAATAGTTCACTCATTCGCGACACAGAATTGGGCAATTTCAGGATTTTTAGTTTTTTACTGGAAGGGAGGAAAAAAAAAAAGATTGCATATGCAACCTTATGGATTCAGACAATGTTTTGCAACTAACCAAAAGACCCCCTTTTAAGTTCTCCCTCCCACTTACAGATCAAGTTGATATCGCTGTAGGTGTTTATCACAAAGCACTCGTTCGGCAGAGCCCTGAAATCAGACGCTATTTTAGTTGGCTGCGTTACTGACTATCAGTATTTTTGTATAAAGGATGTTTTTACCTTCAATGAAATGCCAGGAAAGAAGATGAACTCATCAGAAAAAACATCTCTCAAGAAACTGAAGCAGCTATAGACTTCCTCTGAAAAAAGTATTGTAAAGTACTGTTGTTTAAAAACATAATTTAAAACATGCAAGTGAAAAGCCATTCACTCCTTATTTTAGAAAGAGTACCCACTTCAAATAAAATGTGGACTTGACATTAAAAGCATACATACATATACAGCAGAAATCACCACAACAGAACAGCAAGTCCTCAAAACACTTGATTCAATTGTTTCCAAAAGGAAGGAACAGGGGGTTGTAGCTTCTCAGAACATGCATTAAATACCACATAATCAGATGCTGCACAAAACTAAGGTACATATTCTGAAAAGTTTCTTTAAGAGCCAAGTATTGGAAAACATTGAAATACTTCAGAAACAGTAATGGGAAGAGAAGAAAGACTGCGAACTGGCTGCACTGTATGCAAGTGTGAGCTGTGTGTAATTTGTAACCTAAAAAGCTGGACTGCTAAACGCCCACAAAATAAGACGCTTAGGAACTGGGCTCAGCTCTTCTTAACCCTGCCCTCTCAGCAGAATATACCTACTTTCAACAGTATCAAAGGGTAAACAAACAAAAAAGGCAAGCAAAATACCCCCGTGCCCTCCCAACACATCAACCTTATGCCATGGGACCTTATCCAGAGTATAACGGTCTCAGATAGCTCCCACCTCCCAGTCGCAGGAACCTCGTGCTCCTCTCACCGCTGACAGCACAAGGAGCAAAGCCAGCAGGCTCTCAGAGCTACCCAAACGTACCTTTTCTGAAGCTGCGTGTCATCTGCAAGGCAACTGCCACCAGAGATGGACGCACAAACACGTTCAGCAGCTGGTTTCTGTAGGTGGCACACATGAGGACGGCCAGAGCGCGCTTAAAGACAATTTCCTCTACAGCTCCATCTTCCACTCCTTTGTCATTTAGGACCACATGGCCATCAACAAGGCGAGCAATGCTGGAATGCAGGGTGAGGCCAGACACGACTGCTTTTTTGGCACACAGGTTATCTAGCAGGAAAATGCAACACTCAGGAAGATGCAAAAGGGAACATAACTCTATTGAAACAGCCTAAAATGCACCAGTATTTAATTAAGTTTTATCACTGAAGACCAATTATTACACCAAACATTCATTTAGAGAGATGTTCTAAAATAATCCATACCAGGAATTGGCAGCCTAGGCATAGTATGGGATGGAGAGAACAAGTTTCAGACATTTCTGTAATTAAAGCACTTTAAATTCTTCCACTTGCTAACAATGACAAATACTTCCTTTGTCTCTGGAACAAGTATTCTGAGCCTCCAAATAAAAGAGGATAGATCTGTTTGATGGATACATTCATCAGTAAGGAAATGGAGACCATACTTTTGCTCAGGGATTTCTGACACCACAAGTTTTGAATCAGAGTCTTTATAATGTTTTTCCTCAACTCTCATATACAAGGAAGGCCTCATCCCAAATTAAGTTTAAAGAAATCCTAACAGAAGTATTGTTACATAATATACCTGCTCAAAGTGAAAACAGACTGTACTTAAACCCAAATCTCTTCCTGTTTCGTAAGATAATCCTTTTAAAATGCCTAAAGCAAGGAAGTGTGTGGGTTTGTTTTTTGGTTTTTTGGATTTTTTTTAAACAACAAAGCTCTTCGAAGGCAGGCATGAGTTTTACAAACCTGTGGGCCTTGGTCAAGCTTTTTTGTCAGTGTGACACACCATGAATTTTATTCAGATAAAGAGCAGCATCTCAAGTCTTAAAAATACACTCACCTTTTTAGAATACCTTACACTTTAAACACTACCGAAACATTCCCTGCATCAAATGCGAATTCTTTGGCAAGCAAGGAAAGAAGCAATAAGAACTTCTTACGGAACACTAAAATACACTTTACATGTTCACAGCACCACAAGCATATCAAATCAATATAGCCTCTGACAGAAAAAAAAAAAATATTCATATTCTTTCCCCTTAACATAGATTTCTTGTAGAATCTCCTTGCATCTTATTTACTCCTTCAGCCTACTTTGTTCCAGTTTTGCTAAAGCTCCCAAGTTTCTCAATGCAATAAGAAGCAGAAGTCTGAGTAAGTAATTTTGCGGTTCCTGTTTTTAATATAAAATTTCTAAAAGCCAAGCAAATGTTCTGCCTGTAACAACCAACCAGCATGACAAAGGCAGAAACAACTAGCTGTTTTGTGGCAGAAGAATAGACAGGGTACACGTAGTTGCTGAACTTGGTGATGTCACCAAGTTAGCCTTTAAAATATATTTATTCTTTCAAATTATTGACAATCCAAACCAAAACAACAAACCCTGTTTCTATGCAACTGATGCTTAGAGCAGGGCCAGCACACTCAAACCTGCTCAGTTGTTGTCACTCCTCTATTTCATTACCGTGCCTATTTGCTATTCCCTAACTATATCACAACTCTACTGAAGCAAAAGCTTATTCATTGTTGCTAAGAAAATAAACAAAATAAATAAGCAAACCCGAATGTGGTATGTTTTTCAGTTTACTGTGCAGTAAGATTCTAAATGATGTTTAAATATTGCCATGAAATTCTTCTTTACCAGTCTGGCAGGAGCAGACCTTGCCTGGACTAACTGCAGTGCAGATCCCTGAAAGGAGAAGTGGTTTTCTTCCAAAAATGACAGCGTTCTGTTTTAACTGTAGCCTGCTCCTATTTCTTTATTGCAGTACTGAGAGGGATCCTTGATTATACACGACTACAAAAGCAAAGATCCATGGTTTAAGTCTACCTACACTGAAAAGGTAAATGTACTTGCATTACACGTTATTTTTCTTTGCTAGCTTTACCACTTACGTTGTGAGGCTCTAAAATTAATTACCTCTGCCACCTTGGCTCACAGAGAGAAGTTTAAAACAATTGTTCAGAAAGTTTGGAAGGAGAATCAACCTTTCAGCAGCCAAT